ATGCAAGAAATATTTTATTATAGAAGAATGTTGGTGAGACTTTAACATAAGATGCTGCTTTAGACTTTTCTTTTTGTCCCATTTTCCTGTAGGGGGAAGAATACCTGCCTTAAGATCAACCCTGACTTGAGCCCTGACACTGTCAACATGATGAGTAACCATGTCAACGATTTGAGCAAAATCAGGTAAATAAATATTAATCTTTGTAGTTAAATTATTTTTGCATTTATTTTTTATAACACACAATTGGCTTAGCACATGACTTTTCTATCTAAATGTTTTAAAGCCAAAGTTTTTTAGAATCATAATGGCCTGTTTACTTATTAAAAAAGGATTTTCTCCCCTCAGGGCTAATGAGGACTTCAGACTGACTTTCATGTTCGGAGATGAAGAAAAGTCTCTTAAGTTCATTGACGTCCTCAGTGAACAAAAACCCAAGATCCTGGGATCCCTGACACAGATGGAAGCGTGTGCAGTACAGCTCGACAAGATGAAGAAAGGGGCAGATATCTCCGGTGTTGCTGGCAGCACTGTGGGGGTGGGTGCAGGGGTGGTGTTCATAGTTGGGCTGGCCTTAGCCCCAGTGACACTGGGGGCATCCAGCATACTCATTCTGGTTGGAGGGGTACTGGGAGCTGTTAGTGGTGTAAACAGTGTAACTACAGGCATCACTGAAGCAGCAATTAATTCTCGTAAGAAAAAGAATTTCAGTGAAATATATCAGAAGTTTTTGGAGGATTTGGAGCCCATATATAAATGTCTAGCCCAAGTGATTATCATTAAAGGTCCATCAGTGGAGAATGACATTGTACATGACATGACAAATGCTGGAAAAGTCGGTGGTACTGTCTTAAGTGTTTATAGGACCGTTGACGTTGCTCTGGATTGTAGCAGATTGATGAAATTCACTGATGCAGCATCTGATCTTGCTGAAATTGGGGGTGTTGCCAAAGCAGCCCCCACTGCCCTCTCCGTGCCTTTCAGGGCAGCTTTTATTGCTGGTAATTCGGCATTGATTGGGCTGGACCTCTTTTTCATTGTAAACAATAGCATCAGCCTGGCCAATGGGAGCAAGAGTGATGTTTCCAAAGCCATCCAAGGGCACGTGGATTTTTGGAAGATCCATTTGGATGCGTGGGAGCGGATCTGTGACTCCCTGCATAGAGGCAAACAGGATTTCCAGGAGAGTAAGACCATTCTAGAGAAGCCATTTTACCCAGAGCTGTAGACCAGTGAGAAAGTGCAGCTCAACAGGAGGTTTGTAACTGCTGTAGCATCAACTGATCTGTTTGAAAATGGTTTCCATCTGAGCAGTCGGTTATAAATTATCTGTTATAAATCATCCATTGTAAATCATCGGTTATAAATCATCGGTTATAAATAATATATTATGAATTATCGGTTACAAATCATAGATTATGAATTATCGGTTATAAATCATAGGTTATGAATCATCGGTTATAAATCATCTATTATAAATCATAGGTTATGAATCATCCATTGTAAATCATCTGTTATAAATCATCGGTTATAAATCATCCATTGTAAATCATCTGTTATAAATCATCGGTTATAAACCATCCATTGTAAATCATCTGTTATAAATCATCGGTTATAAATCGTTGGTTATAAATAATCTGTTATAAATCATCTGTTATAAATCTAGTCATAGTTATAACTGTCTACATTTATTTGTTTAGGGTTAGGAAAGTTTAGAGGTTTGAAACTATGGATNCCATCATGGGGGGGTTCGGGCGGCCCTGGCGGGTGTGGGCGGCCTCCTCTCTTGGGCCGTGGGCCGGGTGGTGCTTGGCTCTGCTGTGCCGTGATGGGGCCCTGGCGGGCAGTCCGGGGAATCTTGGGACGCTGTGGGCCCTGCTAGGCGGATTGGGGGGTTCGGTTTTGGCGGGGCGGGCGGTCTGCCGCTCCCCGGTTGCCGCGGGGGGGGGGCCGGGTGTGGGGCTCTTTGTATGGGCCCCCCTTGGATCATCCTGCAGTGTTGGGGGGGAGGTGTGCCAGGTCGCTGCGGTGGGCGGCGGTCCGTCCTGCCGGGGGAGGGGGGGTGGTCCCGGTTGGTGGGGCCCTTCAGCCCTGGACCCGCCTGCCTCGGTGGGGGGGGCTGTGGGGCTCACCGCCCGTCCTCCCTCTGCGGGCCTCCCTGTACTACGGGTGTTGGTGCCCCCTTAGTCCCTCGCGGGCTCCCTCTCGGGTTGGGAGGGTGGTTGTCTCGGGGATGCGTGGCTGTGGGCCCTTGTTCCGGGGGGGGCGGCAGGGTGGCCTCGGTTGCCTGGTTCTCCTGCCTTCGCCTTGGGCCTGGGGGGGGGTGCTGTCGCCTCCCCTGACGGCATCAAATGCCAGCACATCCAATGACAAATCAGTTCACACCTACACTTGCACATACATAAAAGAATGGTTGAGCGATCAATATCATTATTATTATTATTTTTTAGGGTATGTTATAGATATAGGAATTGAAATATACATGTATAAGGGTACGATCACGTGTGTGTATGCTACATATATATATAATACCGATTTGTCACATTATTAATTATTATTATTATCACTGATGTTGTTATTTTTGTTGTTTGATGAGTGTTATGTTCTTATGGTTGTTTGTATTCTGTATTCCCCTATACTTAATTTTTTTCCATCCGACCTACATTATTAGTGTTATTATTTCTGTATACCTTTTTTTTTTTCTCTCTCTCCATGTTGATTGATGTCTGTTATTGTTACGCTTGTTGTTTCTGTATCCCCCCCTGTTTTTCTATTTTTTTTTTATTTATTTATTTTTCCACGGGACGGGTGAGTTTGGAGCGGCCACACTCTTTGCTCTTGAATGTAATGTAAAATAAAGTTGTCCTCCGAAGAGGGGGGGTGGTGGTGGGCAATAAATAATAAAAAAAAAATAATAAAAAAATTAATAATAATAATTGCACCTAGTAAATCATGATGTACACCTTGTGAACAGTTAACAAGCATCTCTTCGGTTTTACATCTCTGTCGCTCTCTAAACCTGGCAGTCCCTTTACCAAGCTGACCCTTCTGCAGTGGAAAACCAAAGCGAGCTGGAACCACACTGTAACGAGCCTCTTTTTGTGGTACATGCCTTGTATGCTAATGGGAAAGGGCCACAATACTGGTAGTATCCAGTGAACCCTTAAATGTGTCTGGATCGGAGTGAGAAATTGTACAGTGTGGTGGGGGCGACTTTAAAACTCTGATGAGTCATTTCAGGTCACTTCAAATCTTACTCTGCCCACTGATCAGAACAGCTGTTCTGCGGCGACCTACAGTGATCACTGATTTGGCATTCTGAGTGCCCACGGCAGAACAGAGCTATGAGGCCTGAACAGTAGAGTGATTTATGCTAACTGCTTCTGATGTGTCATATATGTAATACTTGTACCTGACAGACAATCTGAGGCAAGTGGTAGCAGAGAGCTGCAATCAAGCAGGTAACACGTAAATAAATCTGCTTGAATGGTCAACATTTCCCTGTATAAAAAGTGGAAAATGAGACTGTTACATCTGAAGGATAAAAAATCATTTAATTTATCATTCTGTACAGACATTATACAGTTTTTGACACTATTTTACAATTTTATGACAAAGCAACGCTATTTACATCTTGGCCGACCGTGTCACTGTCTTGTCCTGAAGGAATTCTTCAGCTCTACAGCTGAGAGCAGATATACGGGCAAAGACAGAAACCGAGAATGACAACATTCATTTAATCTATGCACCGTTGCTAGGGGTACAGGATACTGGAAAAATAAATCTAATATCGCAATGTGAATCTTTGGTCATAAACTTTACGATATAAGCAAAATAGGAGTTGGAAATTGATCGAAAATAAACTATAGCCAAATAGAATTTATTATTATCTGTGAGTCTGGACTGTGAGCCTGTGGCACAGCCAGGTCCCCTCACTGGAATACTGAGAGCTGTGCCTCACTGTATTTTCGGTTTTACTTAATTGCCTATTTAATTGCTTATTTAACCGATCTGACCGCTTTCCTAAGTGTGAGGAACTGCAGACAGATGTCTGAGAGCTTTTCTGCTTCGTCTTTCCTCACGTGCCTGGGTTCCCTCCTGTACGGTTCTGTGAGTGTGCTGTTCCTGTTCCCCTCCTCGGTGAGTGTGCTGCTCCTGTTCCCCTTCTTGGTGAGTGTGCTGCTCCTGTTCCACTTCTTGGTGAGCGTACTGCTCCTG